TAGCAACTTTTAAATATACAGTACAGTGTTATTAACTATAGTCACCACGCTGTACATTACATCCCCAGTACTTATTTGTTTTATAACTGTAAGTTTGTACCTTTTGACTACCTTTACCCATTTCTCTCACCCCTCGCTTCTACTTTTAAATTATTGCAACCAATATGTCCCAATGTTTACATTACACTATCATATGATTCTTCTCCACTTCTGCTTTTGTTTTAAAGATTCCTAATCTGGGAAGGACCTTAAGGAAATATTTTACACCTTATTAGGCTTTTTCCTTTTTTTCAAAATAATTTTAGCTGAAGGATTTACCTTAAGCTTGTTTCTATTTTGAATTTATTCACTGATGTCAGTTGGCTATGCACACAATACAAATAAATCATTTAATAAAACATAAGAACTAATAAGAATTAAGACATAGCCTTTCTTCCTTTATTCTATCTGTATAATATTTCAAACATGTTTTCATATCCTGGAGTCTCCGAGAAAATGAGAACAAAAACAGAACTAGAAAGTAGATCAAGAAGGGTGTACCAGTGTGTAAGTGTATGTGTTTTTTTAAATTATTTGAGTTGGTTGGCAAGGAAGTGGGATCTTGAGTACTTAGCTAAATGAGATGTGAAAGCCATTCCTCTGAAAACGTGGGCCAGGTATATTTTGTTTGTTAGGGTTATTGATATTTGGGCTTGCTTTTATTTGGTACCTTTAGCCTACTGAAAATTAATTATACCCATCATTCATTCACACCCATCATTCATTTATTCAGTGAACATTGAGCCTGTCCTCTGGATCAAACCTTGTTCTAGATTTTGATGATACAAAGATGAGAAAGACACAGATTATGCCTCAAAGAGCTCACAGTTTATTATGGGAGAAGATAAATAAAAAGACAATTAAAATACAGCACAATAAGTTTCATTGCAAAGGTATTCATCTGATGTTCTTTGAGGTTATACTTGAAATGAATCATAAAGGATGAGTAGGAGTTCAGCAGCTGGAAAGGCCTTCCAGGAAAGGGCCTTCGAGGAAGAGGGGAAGCACACGTAGATGTACAGAGAAGTGGGAGTGTGATGCTTTGAGGGAACAAGTGATTGGTAAATCTAAAGCATTATGTATGTGTGCAGAAAATAAGAGAGAGAAGGTGTGGGGGTATGAGGGTGGTGTGGGAGAAAGTAGGCAAGGGCTAGATCTTCAAAGTCCTTGTAAACCACAATAAATAAGGAATTTGGACTTTATCTTTCATGTGTTAGGAGAACAACTGAGGGAGTTTAACCAGGGAAGAGGAATGATGAGATGCATGTTTTTGAATGAGCCACATGGAACTTGGATTTTAGGGGCTCAAGACTCAAGGCCATGAGACCAGTCGTAAGACTTCTGCAATAATTCAGAGAAGAGCTGCCAGGACTAGAAGGCTGACCTTCAAATCTTGATTAAATGGATCTAGAAGAATGTCTCTTTTTACTCACAGATTTTAATGTATCTCATTGTTGAGGTCCAGAGAGGTAAAGGTCAGCAAAACACACTGTAGATGTTTATTCTACACTTTATTCTAACCCTAACATATATACTTACATACATATTTAGAGATATATGAAAGCACCCTTAAACTTGTCACAATTGGTGATATACTCATTCAGTAGCTTCCAAATGATGTTGGAGAAGAATATGTAATGGCATGGAAAAATGGTTATAAAATTATATATGAAAAGTATGTTATAAAAAAAAAGGTAAAGGGGGCCAGCCCAGTGGTGTAGTGGTTAAGTTCGCACGCTCCACTTCAGCGGCCCGTGGTTTGCAGGTTCGGATCCCAGGCGTGGACTAACACACTGTTTTTCAAGCCATGCTGTGGCGGCGTCCCATGTAAAGTAGAGGAAGATGGGCGTGGATGTTAGCCCAGGGCCAGTCTTCCTCAGCAGAAAGGAGGAGGATTGGCAATGGATGTTAGCTCAGGGCAATTCTTCCTCACACACTCACACAAAAAGTAAAGTATAATTTAATTTGTATTTATGCATGAGGAAAAGCTGTTTTGAAGGGTACAAACTGACACAAGCAATTACTTCTAGAGAGGTAGGTGAGATGGGCCTGTGGGCAAAAACTTTATGTGGATTGTTCAAAATTTTTATAAGAATATGATCAGATATTACATGTTTAAAAATAAATAATATTTTCTATTTGGATGGGAGAAAAGGAAAAGACTAAATGTATATAAGCCATAACGTTAAGAGTAGTTAAATTCAGAGATGAGATTTGGGTTGCTTTTTATTTTCTTCTTTTTGCTTTTCTCTACTTCCCAAATTTATAATTGTACATTCCTATTGCCTTTCTTCTTCTTATAAAAGCAACTATTATGAGGTTTAAACTATAGCCTTCATGTGAAAGGATAAAAGTGTAAACTATATTTAACTATATCCAGCACTTAGCAGTCACTCATTTAATGTCAGGTCAACATTTGTGCTGATTTACCTGCAAAAGACAGTGTAGAAAATCATTGTGTCCTGGAAAGTCTATCCCCATTAGTGAGCTTAAAGCTAGTGCAGGGAAAATGGTATTGACTTACCTTAATTCCGTAAGAAGGAAAGTCATCACAAATCATAGAGGAACCATGAATCAGAGTTGGAATTAGTTTAACGTCTCTCATCTAAGAGCGCCTGTGGGCTAAACTCATCCAGTCCCCATAGAGCAGGAGAGTTCAGGCCAGCAGAGTCACAGATACAGCCATGAATTTTGGAATCATTCATCTTCTTCTTCCAACTCTGATTCTATGTTCACCAAACGAGCAACTTTCTGATTAGAATTTAGCTTTCTGTGTGAAATTTTCTCTAAGGAGACCGTGAGACTGGGCCCCAGCAATGTTCCTATTTTTACTATAATTGAAGACGTGACAAAAGTCTTTCTTAATTTTGCGAGTGTATGTCTGTCTCTGAGAGGCTGAGAAAGTCATCCAATTAAAACTTCAGACCAGATGTGGAAGGTGGTGAATTCACCCAGGTAGCATGTCCCAGGACTCCATTGATGACCTTTCACCTTACTTTCCCCTGGTGAAACCCACCTCCATGTGAGCTGCCTGCAACCTAAAATGTTCAAAATTCTCAAAAATTCTACAATTTTGCCTTACCAGTGACTTTTAGCCTGCCTGTCAGAGTTTTAAAATATAAGTTTGTATGTGATAATTCAGCATTAGAAGCTTCCTTCAGCCTACTGTTAACGATAAGTTCTCTTAATCATTGAAACCAACAAAACTTGAGTAGAGTTTAATTGTATATTTGCTCTGGCTCAAAAATCTCTGCAAAATATTTGTTAAATATGTTGGCACAAGCATACAACAGTACTGTTATTTGCTAAAAATAGTATCAACCTCACAAAATAATCATGGGACATATATGTATACTTAGGTGTAAACACAAGTCAAATATATATGTGGAAGTATATATATAGCCAAATGTTAATTGATCTTTATTGTTTCTGTTTAATAATAATTTTGTTCAGAGCTAGCCTAACTCCTAGTAGTGTCTCACTCATACAGAGATGTTAGTCACCCATTAACTATACTGTGGGTGGATGGGATTCATAAATAAGACTCAGGCACAGAGGTGGTAAAATACATGGATTTGAAGGGAATATTGCTAGATGATTTTGATGAATGAGAGCAAAGGAGCAGGGTTAGGTAGCGTTAGAGAGAAGGATGGAGTCTCAACCAGAGAAGACCTTGAGTATAAAACTGACGCTACCATCAACCTTAGTATAGCTATTCTGAGCCCTGAGGAGCCACTGAAGGACCTGGGTGAGTTTGCATTTGTTCAAAGTATCCAGATGAATATGAAAGCACCATATAAGATCAAGAGGAAATGAGCAGACGTCAGGGAACTACATCAGACGATTATTGGGATTTGTTCACTAATATTTGAATTCTAGACCAATATTCTTCAAAACGTTCTCCTTGAACAGTCTGCAAAGAGTAATCTGAAATGCTAGTTGAAAACACAAATTCCTAGACCTAGTGAATTGGTCTTTTTCACAAACGACCAGATGATTTGCTGTATGTACAACTGTTGGAGAGCCCCTGATCTAGGTTAATGTAAGTTTTATATAAGAAATGTTTCTGGAGAGTAAGGTAGGTTCTTTGAAGAATGCCATATTTGAGGTTAAACAGTTGGGATTTTGAACTTAATTTTAGGGATGTCGCTAGAATGTAAGCCCCTCAAGGGCATAGCTTTTTGTCTATTTTGTTTGTTGATATATCTTAAGTGCTGAGAACTATTTCTGGTATATAGTATGTGCTCTACGAACATTTGTCCAGGGAATACATATGATTAACAGCTTGGATTTCAAAGTCAAATGCAGCTAACTCAGCCTCTCTAAGACTTAGTATGCAAAATTGGGATATTAATACCTGGATCACAGGTTTAATATAAATATTAAATAATAGCTGGAAAGCACTTAGCAGAGTGCTTGGCACAAAGCAAGTCCTCAATCAATGAGGATTGTTTTTATTGCTATTAATAATAATATTTAGTGCATCATCTGTATTCAGCATTAATGGTGATGTGCCCTAGTGCTACTCTACAAGGCATTTTTTATTTAAAGGTTAATGCTCCTAACCTAAAAAAATAAACCCCTTTTCCTTTTGTGGATCCTACATTATCAGGGACTTATGTGAGTGTGAATGTGCCTAGTGAAATAAACACCAAGCACACAGCCGTAGAGAATTTTACCTATCTGTAATTTGGAGTCTTTCTTTCCTTCCTTCTTTCCTCCCATCCTCTCTCCCTCCCTCCATCCTTTTCTCCCACTCTCTTTCTTCCTTTCTCCCTGCCTTCCTGCCTTCCTTTTTTCTTTTCATTCAGAGAGCTTGGGTCTTGTAGCAGTTTGTTGGAAGGGCTGAATTGAAAGAAAGGAGAAAATGATGAAAAAGGAAAACATTCAACAAACCGGTCTTCTGGGTTCTGTTGTGCTGTTAAATGGCTTATCTTTTTTTTTTTCTTTTTTAACTTAAGGTTGTATTTAAAGGGTCACACTGGGACAGCAGGAAAACAGAGCAGCCTGATCTTACACGGTGCTGATTTCAGCACTAAAGATGCTGATAATGACAACTGTATGTGCAAATGTGCCCTCATGCTAACGGGAGGTAAGTCCTATGGGGCCATTCTCTAAGTTATGTTTCATTGGTTTGAGGCTGGAAGTTTCTTGTCTATAAGAAAGGATTATGATCTTCTGGTCAGGAAACGTAAGAGCAAGTCCCTGGAGATCATTTTGCTCTGCCCACTAATTTACCATGTGTTCTTATGCAAGACATTGCTAGCATGTTTAGAAGTTTTGCCTCCTCCAACATCTGTAGAGGGAGCGTGCTAAGCTTTGTCCTGAATAAATTCTTTAGGCTCTTAAACTCCCAGTTATTCTACCTTCTAAATAGTCATAATGATACCCATAGTGGAAGGAACAACAATTTGAGAATTCAGCATACAGAAAAAAAAACCACAACTTCTTACAAAATGCTTTGCAGCTGTGTAATAGAGTTCATTGATCATTCTATTGAAATAGAATAAGAATATAGAAGTGTAGTTAGATTTAAAGTCATACAGTTCGGACCAGCTATACCAGGGCTTTGTGTTATATGGTAGTGACCTCTGCAAGACATTTGAGCTGGTATAGGAGAGACCATTAAATAATTTTGTATCATTGAGTAAGAAAGTGAATCCTTTTGCACCTTTTCATTATGTTCCAGCCTTCTGATTGTGTCAAAGAGAAATTCTCAATTTGGTGCTAGAATATCTGTAACATTTCTTTAGCACTTACTCAGTAATCACCCTTCTTAGCAAAGAGAGAGCAAACCCTTTGGCCTCAGGCTCAGGACCCTGCCAAGGCAATGGCACCTACCTAGAATTAAATAAAGTGTTTTTGTTTTAATTTTATTGGGTTCTATATCTGTCTTTTATTATAGCAAGTGGTATTGATTTCCTCTTTAAAGGAATACATTTTTAAATGTATTTACAATATTTGATATTTTAAAAATTATTGATTTAAAGAAAAAAATTAAATATTAATAAAATTTATAAATGGATATGGCAAAAACTGTGAAGTTGATACACGACAGACTGAAGTTTGAGAAACGCTAAGGTAAAACTGGTTGCAACTGATGTAGCTCACGCATGTTATGGGCTCTGGAAAGAAAGGAATTTGCACCAAACAACATTGTAAAGGAAACTTTTTTTCCTTGTGTTTCTCCTCTCACAGTTTTAGTGTTGCTTCCCTCTTTTAACAGAATAGCAACCCCTCCTACCTTCAACTGTTCTGATTCTCTCTCTGTGTTATTCTATAACAAAACATGTTTTCATGCTAGTAAGGAAAAAATTCTTTAAATCTAGTATCTTCCTTCCCCAAGTATGATATTGCTGCCATTATTATTACATATTATTATATATTACTGTATACATTGTACTATCTTACTTGAACTCCAAACCAAGTCTGTGAGATAAGCAGGGAGGGAAACTCTAATCTCCGCCTTGTACATAAGGAAAACAAAAGTAAATGTTCACCATTTTATCCCTGACATCTAGGGTGGTAGATTGTGGCACATAAGAACTCAGTAAAATATGGTACATGAACGAATGAAGGAACATTTGTAACCCTTGAAATCACTTTCAAATTTTGAAGCCAATGAAATGAATCATTAAGTTGACATTTTTCTTATCAATTAACAGAGCATGGAAGAGTATGGAGAGAAGGTTTTGCAGACCATCCACAAGCCCTCTATTACTACCACCACCGAATCACATCCCATTGATCCCCATCCACTGCACTTATATTGACATTTTTTCAACATGAGACCAACCCTAGTATTATTAAAGCCAACCTGTCATGATTCTGCCTCCATCATATTCTTCTCCCTAAGCTTTAAATTTTTATTTATTTATTTATTTTCCCCCAAAGCCCCAGTAGATAGTTGTATGTCATAGCTGCACATCCCTCTAATTGCTGCATGTGGGACGCATCCTCAGCGTGGCCAGAGAAGCGGTGCGTTGGTGCGCGCCCGGGATCCGAACCCGGCCGCTAGCAGCAGAGCGCGCGCACTTAACCGCTAAGCCACGGGGCCGGCCCCTCCCTAAGCTTTAAACATGCCATTTTGGCATCACATTCAACCCCATCAAATAATTAAAAGTCCTCTACATGTAATTTTATGACCCCCTCCCTCAAACAGTTGTTACAAATTTAGAATGTTTTTTACAAAGTGGTACCCACGGATAAGATTCTGAACTTTTTTCCTGAAAGAAAATTTTTCTTTTCATTGCCTTCTTGATCCCATAAATGGAATTGTCAGCAATTTTATACAAAGACAAAATGACTTTCTCCAGTTTCCTGCCCATTTTAATATAAATATGCTTCATTTTCTCCATGTCTGTTTTTACAGATAATTTTCCTTACCAAATAAATACAAAACATGAAAGACCAACAGTAAAATCTTTCAAATGTTTCCTTAGAAGAATGTTCCAAGCTGTTCATATTCCTGTCATCATAATGAAAATATAGAACAAAGCAAAGAGGAGAAAGCACCTCTTGGTTGTCAATGAGAAAACGTCATTGCTCAGATTTATGATTTTATTTCTGCTTCAAATGATTGAACTTTGTCATGTTCGTTCATCCATAATCATTCTTGGACCTGCTTCTTACTCATCAATAAACACATATGTTGCCGAGAGAAAATTTCCACTTATTGCTTGGGCTGGAATAGTCTAAGTAAATATGTTTTTGTAATAAATGCCATTACCCTATCCAATATCCTTTTGAAAGAACCCAGGTCTTGAAAAGCTATTGACTCTGCAAAGCTGGAATGTGGAATTTAGATAGCTAAGAATTGGAGAGCATAAGGATGACAGTCAGTGACAGGCCAGGTAACTTGAGTATTGCCTGGGCCTTACGTTCTAATTAACTACACCCCAGTACCACTCTTTAGTTCCTGTCATATTTTCCCCTTAGAACCATTTTTTTCATCTAATGATTTTTCCTTTCTTTTTTTTAAAATTTGCATTTGAATTTGTTGCCTATTTAAAATAGTCTCTTTTAAGCAGTGAAATTTCATACTCTTTCAAACTAATAATTTATAGTTCTCTATCATCATCCATTAAAGCTTTGTTTTATCTTGGTTTTTTATATTTTTTTCTTTGTTTCTTCTAAAAGGAATTAAGAATAAAGTAAAATTTATTCCCCACTAACTGTCCTACATAGTTTTCTTCAAGTACAAGGAGGCATGTTAGTTGGAGAATGTGGTATCATTGCTACCCTTATCTGTCAATGACTAACCAACAGGAGATGGGCTTAATCGAAAGCAGAAAGTATTTCAGCTAGACATAAAGTAGAACATTTTGGTCTTCCTTCCTTCCTAACATCCTAACTTCTTAACTTCCTTCTATCAATTTAATATATTTTTAATGAGTAACTATTAAGGGTCAATTACTATTAGAGAAATAGGCAAGACAGAATAGAGCTTGCATCTATGAAGGGAGACCATCAACAAAAAAGTAAATAATAAGTAACCCCGTTTCAAACCATACAAGTTCTAGGGACAAAATACAATATGTGATAGAGTTATTGGAGGAAGGGGGAAGCGACTTTAGAGGGAGTGTCCAGGGATCAAATGCTGGAATGAGCTGCCAGGGAAGATTGTGCATTTCTGGTTATGGACATCTTCAAGAAGAGAATATAAAGCTATTCATCTGAAAGAGTTTACTTATGCATGTTCCTGTAGTTGTGGGTCTAAATAAGAATGTCTCACATTTTTTTCTGGTTCTGTGACTCTATTATTCCTTGTACTCATTGTGGCTACAGTAGGGAAAAACAAGTAATACTATCTTTCAATGCATGGGTTGTAATTTATAGTACATTGTTGAGTGGAAAAGAGGTGTAGTGGGCTGAGAAAGCACATTTGCCATCAATAGAAATAGATACCACAGTGTTTTACACCTCCTTTCCCAGAAATATATGTACTTGTTCCCACCTCACCAGAAAGCCAGCAGTTCTTCCACCCAATTTATATATTGAATAATTTTTATGTTTCATTACACATTTCTTATGGGACCAGAGCATATATTTCAAGATCAAATTGCCACACAGATTTTCTATGGAATTGACCGCTTAATTAATCATTAAGTAGAGATGATTTGTCAGCATAGATTTATAAGCCAGAAATATCTTTGCTCTGTGATTTCATTGGCCTTTGGAAAATTTGTAAGTTTTCTTCTTAGGTTTCCCCTTTTATATAGGCTATTACGACAAATCTGTATATTTCAGTAGTGGGAGGGTAAATTTAAGAGATGATTGTAGGAAATATTCTCTTAGTTCCACAGGAGAGCTCCTATTGTGCCCTCCTGAGACCAAAGAAAGGAAATCAGTTTCATTGTAAACTTAAGTTTTATCTAATATTTAATTAAGAAAATGAAAACATAATCTTGTTCATGCATGCTTTTGTTTATATGGATTTATTGTATAAAAAATAAATATGCAAAACAACTCTGACTCCAGAATTGTGAAAATGGAAAACTTTTATTACTAGATTGTCAAACGCACAGTGAACTTACATTCAAAGAAAACATGGTATTTGGTAGTAAATTAGCATTCTTCAAAATAAGTATTTCTAAAAGTCTGTTAGAAACTACAATTGCTAAACGTTGCCGGAAAAAAACAAAACAAAACACGGTATTGTTTTACATTCCTTTCCTTACCTTACTTTTCTTTCAACACAATTTCCATATTTAGTATATAATGTAAAAGCTATGTAAAAATGTGACCTAACCTTCTGCAGAAAGAATCTGTTGTGGTAGAAACCCTGATCTCTTTTCCCACACATAAACTATGTCAGCCGACAGACAGGACTTTGCTAAAGCTAACAAAGGATATTTCTCAGTTCAGTCCTAAAAGAGAGGATAAAGCCATCCACATAAATTTCTTAGTACACCCTAGAACTTACCAGATGCTAGCAGCAGAGAGTTGATAAATGCTTACAGCAGAGAGTTGATATCGCCTGCTATATAATTTTGAAGAAGACAAAGAAAACCAAAGAAATTAGTAGCTTCTCCAACTGGTGTGTGATGCTGAAGTGACAAGATCTTTGGGAAAATATAGTTATCTTAGAGT